TTGGTTGGAAATGATGGGATCGGAATTTCCAATGAAAGAGACATCTTTTTATTACCAATAAAATCCAAATGTGAATTATAGTCAATTTCTGTGCAACAAAATCGTTGACCCATTTCACTTGAATGACAGGAGAGATAGAAATATTTCATTTGCAATTTTTATCGGAGAATAATTACGACGCGCGTGACTTAATTATTTATATAACTAATTAGTATAAACAGCCGAAGAAAATTTAATATTTGTAATATATTCTTCCGATAATGATAATAATTTCCGTTACAATTTCACGACGCATTCGCGTGGTATTAAATCAATTCAAAATATTCGATCAGTGTGTGTGTGTGTGTGTGTGTCAGTGAGAATGATCGTCAAACATCCGTGAAATTTATAATTAAAACGGTCGGCGAGAAAACGGAGGGAAAGGTAAATATAATAAAATTGTAACGTAATGTAGCGTAACAATAGTCAAACAGACAACTTGACACGATGGACATTTATGGCCAAAAGTGGATAGACGAATGTAAGCGAATAATGTAAATTGAATCGAAAATTCATCTATAAATCGCGGAATAATAACGAAAATAAATAAATAACGAAAATAATACTTGTCTATTTAGTGAAAATTTCGAAGATCCAAGAAACACAAAAATGGACACTTGGAAATGTCCAACATGGAGCAGGTTTATGGCTATGTGTATACTACAGTGTATTATGCAATATTAATAATATCATTAATATTGTACAATCAACTCTCATTTCGAACGCAAGGAACATAAATCTCCTCTGGCACTCGCCGCGGAACTTGGAAAAACCGAAAACCCTGTCCTCCGCTCCAGATCGTGTTTCGTTCGCTCGTTATAAAATTAACCGAAACCGAAGCAAACGAAACGAAACTAAAGGTCCGGCATAATAATAAAAACGAAAGAGGGGGACGAGGAGACGGAAGGAAAGTCTGTGAATAAAAGTTGCAACAATCGATTGGCGCAAAGTAGAACGAGGCGGCGCGGCGTTGGTGGGATCGTAGGAAGTCGAGAGAGGAGAGAGATAAGCTTGGTTTCCGGCGGCGGGCGTGCAACAAGAGGCGCGTGTGCTTGCTCGCGCCGAGAGCGGAGGTTGCGTTGCGTCGCGTCGTGTCGCGTCGCGTCGTCGCGTGATCGTGAACGCGTGTCGTGCGCGGTTAGTTTGCCTCGATTCACGTGTTGGTGCGGTCGCGAAACCGCCGTTCTCGCCGTTTCCGTCCTCCGTACCTACGCCGTTTCAATTCAGTTCGTTCTCGCGCTTTGACAACCAACACACACACACACACACACATACACACACACATAGAGAGCGTGCACGTCAGTAAGTTCCCTCGACTGTGCGATTTCTTGCATTTCGCCGAATCTTCTCGCCCCTTTCCGACAGGAATTCTTCCACTGCTTCCCCTCTCGAACTCGTGTTCGAGTTCACGTTTCGGTGAATTGTTTTATCTCGCTCGTCTGTGAAAATCTGCACAACTCTCGCTTTCTCGCTGTTCTTCGACAGATCGAGAGCTCCTTCCCAATTTCAAATGTGTTTGATGACCGGATGTTTCGCGAACATTTGGTTTATACATTTTGTTTGGAATAAATTCTTTCGAAGGAATTAACGATCGAGGCTTGTCGCCAAGATGTTCCGTTCTGATACGAATTTTATGGTTTCATAGTGATCGGTGTAATTGTGGGTGTTTTCGAAATTGACGGATTCTAGATATTTTTTAAGAATTTCCCAAGGTAATTGAATTTTCATTTGTAACTGATTGTAATTTGTATAAAAATTTTACGTTGTCCAATTGTAAATACCTTTGAAATCGGTCGATTTCGGACATTTTATGATTGAATTTTATCGCCAAGACTTACGTAAGACATTTCATGTCTATTTAATTAGTGGATTTTAAATTTTTTTTTGAGAAATGATTGAATTTTATCGCGAAATTTGTGTTTACGTGCAAATTTCTGTTCACGATCGGTCGAATTGTGGATATTTTTGTATAATTGGTGGACTTCGTGGTTATTGAGGATTGAATTAGAAAGATTCAGTTTCCACATAAATTTTATAACACTTTTCTAATAATCGGTCTAGTCGTGAGTATTTTTGAAATTTATTTCTGGATATTTTTAATGTGACAGTCAGGCTAAGCTTGATGAGCAATGGAAGTTTAATGTGTATTGTAACGATCTTATCTGCGCTGATTTCACGTGACTGGTAATTTCTTTCATTTTGCTGTGCACCTCTGCTCGGAACAAACGCGAAAGACTAGCGACTAGTTGTCCTCTGCGATATTCCCATCAATTTTTTTGGCAATAGAAATTACTCGCCAGAGGAGAAAAATAAAGAAAAACCAGGATTTTGTTCGCGTTCGAAAATCGGAGAAAATCCTTTGTACGCTCGGTGAGATAGAATCCTCAAAAATTTCGACCAATCGCGGTATCAAACGCGCGATGTCATTTTTTCGAAGCTGAAAAGTCAGAAAAAATCCTCTGTCCTCTTTCGAAATGGGCGCACGAGACACGAAGGACATTCGTTTCGTATAATTTCATTAAATTCACTCGAAAACGAGTAGAAATCAGGTGTGAAGATACATTAAACTAAAAGTCCACGAACGATGCTTTCGCGCGAAACGAAATTTTTTTCGTACGGCAAGTTTCAATTGAGATTTCGAATCGATTGAAAGAGTGGCTCTTTCAATTGCATTTTAATAACAACTCGCTCACTGGTTTCGTTGCTAAGGTCAACGAAAAAAGGATGTCGAAGCAAAGATGTTCGAGGTAAAACCTTTCGTTAAAAAATATCGAGTTCGAAAACCATCGAGTTCGAACCTGAGGTGAATCCAGGCGAAATGAAAGGAAATTCGCGAGAGTTTATAATTATCAGGGAAGTTCGCCCATTTCGCGAAAATATTCCACGAATCGACGAAGGCCTCTGCTCGTAAATTAAGCAAACGTATTGGCGGTTTGATCAGATGTTTATCAGACTGGCGTTAATTTCGCTTGAGTGTGGTTCACGTGAACGGGAGAGGAAGGTCGTGGCTACAAGCCTACTCACCGTATCAAACGCTCGTCAAGTTCATTGAGAATTCAACCGCGAGATGGTCAGCTACCGAGTGACAAATTTACGATTGACATTTTATTTGTCCATTTGTAAAATCTTTCTGTTCTTCGTTGGATTTACGCATCAATTGAAAGTGCTGGCGAGAGAGTGGTAAAGTGCTGCAAACTCTTCATCGTTGGACAACATCAATCCTAGAACTATTCAATTTCATTCGTACGAAAGATTTGTAAAATGCAAACTCCCTTCACTCATTGGACATCGTCATAGTCATTGGAACTATCAAATTTCGATTGCACGATCGTTGGAAATAATATTCGAGAGATTCGTAGAATGCGAAATCAATCCTAACAGCCATTAGATTTCAATTGTATGATCATTAGAAATGCCCCGGTGATTTCCAAAACACGGAATAGTCACCGTCGTTCGGATTTCAAATTTTAATCGTACGAAACCGATCAAAATTGGAAACGGATTTGATTTGTAAAATTTCCGACTTACAAAATTTTAGATTTGCTGGAAATTTAGATTTCCAGTAAAAAGATCGTTCGACAGAGGATGACGGAACTCTGCAAAGAAAGAAATCGCCTCTCGCGTCTTAATTTTCCCAAGTTTCGTTCAATGAAGAAAGAGAGGAAAGGAGACCAAAAAAAAAAAAAAAAAAAATTCAGGAATAACAGATAATTTTCAGCACTTCGATGGTTGTAGGGTTTCATCGGTTCCCACCTTTTTTTCTCTCCCCCTCCCCTCTCTCGCTGCGTCGTCCTAGTTCCAGAGAAAGAGACAGAAAGAGAGAAAGGCAGACGTTTGAAACTAGATCGATCCAGCTACCCGTGGAATCGATAACCCACGCACGGAATCGTGAAAACGCCTGACGATGGTCTTCTACTCGCGCGCCGCGAGTGACAGCCCGTTTTCACCCGGGGTACTTGTTGAGCCTGGAATTTCAATTCTCGTAATGGATTCCATCGATCGTTGCGGGCGTTCCATTGAAAAATCCCTGTTGCCAGTTGACCGTCGGGCGTTCCGCGCTTCGAGTCGAATCCGCGGATGAACGAGGTTCATTTTCAGAGGTGGGGCAGACGCGGTGGTCGAAAGTCGCGCGATTGCATTTGAAGGAAATCATAGGAGAGGGCGAGTTTGCATAGGTGGAGGCGAAATCGTGTGAATTTTGCCGGGCCGGGCAATGAATTTTGCATGAGAGCCGAGGCTCGAGTGACGAATATTACGCACGTACGCGAAATTGGCGCGCGAAAATTGTCAAGCGATCTCGCGGAGAGTTTTCTTCTTCCTCTTTCTCTCGCGGCGAAAAAATTTCGATCCTTTTCTTGGCGTTTTTCTTGACGTTTCCTTTTCGAATTACTTTTTTTTCTCTTTCTCTCTTTTGTCTTCTATTTAAATCGAAAAAGGAAATGATATCTTTCGGGATTAAGAATTCTGTGATGTAAGAGATTGGGGTAATTTTGTTTTGAAAAATTGTTGAAATTTGAACCATTCCAGAATGAGTTGAAGAGTTTTCGCGATCTATAGATCTATGGATCTTGGTTAGATGACTGAATGTTCGGATTTCTTGAATTTCAAATCCCGAGTCTTCTAAATTGAAAGAAAGTTGAAATTAAAGAAAAGTTCGGTGCTATGTAAGGAAGTTGAATTAAAGGAAAAAAATTGAGTGCTATTGAAATGTAAAAAGTTATAGAAAACTACGAGGAATTATAGAAACGAAACTGCGGAAAATGATAGAAAGCTGCAGAAAATTGCGCAAATCTGTAGAAAACTGCTGCAAAACTACTGAATATACAGCTTTCAAAACTTTGAATAAAATTCCCTAAAACAATTTCTGTTACGAGAAATCCTAGCATCTTGTTGTTCAATTTCAATATTCAAAATTCGACAAATTTTAATACTCAAAATGAAACGGGACAAAGTCCAAAGAAAGCTCAACGAGTTCCAAGGATATCTAAATCGTCCAAAATCATGACTATGGGAAACAAATTTTTTTCAACATCCTGAAAGATGTTCCAAAGAATTTTTAGAATCTTCGAGAACGAGGGTACCTGTTGCGCGATTGAAAATGATCGTTGTTGAAAAAGAACCAAGAACTGAAAAACCAAGTCAAAGCGGAGGCTTCGCTCTTTAAAACGGGATCAAGTGGACTGTTACGCTTATATCTTTTTCCCCTTTTTTCACAAAGTTACGACGATTTTTCGTCATTACGATCTTCACTGGAAATTTTCTTCGAACTCGAAGTGAAAACGACGGATCTAATCGATCGTCGATAACCCATTTGTTTTGAAATTCTCGGCGGCGAGCCGACGGCAGCTCGAAGTATCAGCGAGCCGTAGTCTTCAAGAACAAAGAGCATCAATCTTCCACTTCTGGAAAGACATCTCGGGCGATGAAACTCATCGATTCTCTCGCCGTTCAATTGTCCCGTCGTCGATCAATCGTCGTCGACGATTAAATATAACGCGCGCTCTTTTTAAATTAGCGGCCCTCGGCCACTCGCCGGCGATAATTCTTTGTTCCAGCGCTTCGAAACGGACCGTGACTCGATCGCTAAATATTGACCATAGGTATCCGGCGCGAGCGGCAAGCGTAATCTTGTGACGTCATACTTCTCGCAATCGCAGACCTCGGGATATCTCAGACCTCGGGGTATTAATATTTGTGAAGCACTCGCCCGCGGGATTAATTTCTCCGGATTTTTCTCTTTCACTGCCAGCGAAACTTGCCGTTTCGAGAATTTTTCACCATACCTCGATACCTCGGTGTTATTAAATTTTTTAATATCTTTGGATCAAGTAGAAAGTTCGAGTAGACGACGCGATTGGGTCTAATAAACGGCGGATTATTGGAATGAAATAGCAGGAAGGATTTCTTTACTGCGTAGAGTTAAAGTTTAATTGTGCAGAATTCTGTATAATATTTTCTCACAGTCGAGCTTTGTTAAAATTAGGAGATATTAGGGTGATTGGCGATTGTCTCTTTGTGAAGATTCCGGCTCCCCCCGTTTGAGGAGCGAAGATCGTGCGGGAGAGCCGTTTCTAAGCGTGTAATCGACTTGGTGGAGGAAGTCGGATGCTTGTTCGTGGACGTCTTGTTAATAATAGCGCAGGGGAGAAATGTCACGGTCGGTGACGTTCCTATTGTACGGGCCAATATACGGGAATCGGCCTATATCCCATCTGAACACCTCGATCTGGCTAAGTAATTCATCTGTCGGATCAAGATCCACGGTTGACGATCTTCAATAACGCTATTACGTTCGCGAGTACGGTTGCTTTTTTCGTCTCGCTTCGTAAAGTAGTGTTGTATTACTTAAAGCAGTAGTCGTATATTTCAACGATGAATATCCAGTTGTCACTGAGTCATCATTATTCAAATATCCAACTGATAATCTATTCTTCTACTATAGCGTATTGTGATTTAACACTGTATCGTTTAACTCTGCTATGTTTTGTTCTAGTTTATATTTTTTGGCAGGGGAAAAAAAAAAAAAAAAAAAATCAATTTAGTAGTGGACGAAAAAAAAAAAGATAAAATAGTGAAGTATTATATACAAAATGGTAAAGTACTATATATATAGGTATAAAATGGTAGATGAAGTACTAGATATTTTATACTAAATGGTAAAATAAAGTAGTATAAAATACCACAAATGTATAAAGTACTATACATGTAGGTATAAAATGGTGGCTGAAGTACTAGATACTTTACTAAACAATAAAATGAAGTAGTATATAAAATACTAGGAATATTAGTATTTACCATAATATATGTTACTTGAGTGCTATGCTACTATTTCTACCTCTAATATGAAACACTAATGTTCATATAAATTGAAATCAGTGCTACTAGTTGAAATTAACGTATTACTAAATTATACTTCTGTATTACCGTTTATATTGCCTAGTATCTGATACTACTTCATATTGTTGTTGAATAAAATGTTTGTTAGTTTGTCTTCTACCTTTTTGGATCCTAGTCTGTTGGATCCTAGCCACATAAATTGAAATCAGTGCTACTAATTGAACTGAGCGTATTACTAAATTATACTTCTCTATTACTGCCTATATTACCATGTTGCCTAGTATCTGATACTACTTCATATTGTTGTTGAATAAAACGCTTGTTAGTTTGTCTTCTATTTTTTTGGATCCTAGTCTGTTGCGAGCATAGATCCCACTGGAGATTTCCTCCTTGGGTTTCTCGACAAGAGTAATGGAAAAATGCGGACAAGCGTTTCTGTCACTGTCGCCAGATATCGAACGATAAATATTGTTCTTGAATAATGATGAACAGGTCTCGTCCTAAATCTAACGAATAATGGATCGGCGTCTCGCTTTATCAACATGTCGATAGACAAACGGACTGTCTGACTTGTGATTCATTCTTTTCTCTTGCCTCCGTTTCTTTCCTCCTCTCGAATAATGTTGAACGAATTGAACCTACTTTGGGACAGCTTCTGTCGTTTCGAATGTTGCTAATTGACAAAAATTATTACCGTTATTATTATAATTGTAATTCTAAGCGACATTAATTTACAAAACAACCGCCCCGAATTGAATTTGAATTTAAATTTCCTCTAAATTAAATTTAAAGCTAAATTCCCAATTGATTGTTCAATTTGACAGCACGGCGAGCAATATTGGCAACAGCGCGAGATAAAGAGCAACCTGGCGGGAAGAGAATTTTTTTTAATTATCCGCGTTTTGCCGGGGAACACTCGACTAGACGCTCCTCGTGACGAAAGTTCGTTAAAATCTGCAACTCTCCGACGAGACTGTTCCCTACAGTTATATCGTTGCGTGTTGATTATTTAAAAAAAAAGAGAGAGAGACGGAGAGAACTTAATATTTTCCATTAATTCGAGGCTCCTTATTCTCGATTGCGCAACAACCAACGAATTTTCGAATTAATTAATCCGTCCGGCTTTAATGGCACTGCACGAACACTTCTCGAAACGAATTTCAACAAAAATACTCGCGCCAGTCATTTGTGGAATTCGTGCTGGATCAGTTGTGAAACTCGTTATTAAACACTTTATTATCGAATGATTTATTGCGATTTCAGCTCGATAGGGGACGATTTTCGATTCTTGTCATAGAAGTTTATTTGCCTGAACTAAAGTACCGAACTAAATTGGGAACTAAATTAGAAAGATCGCAGCAGAGTGTTCTTTTGAGCAAATAAAATTTGGAGATGGCAAAATACGGCGTACTCCGTGGCTGAAGAATTTTTGGGGGACCGACGTTATATGGTAAACATTTGTCTCGGGGGATATTAACTTTCGCTACGGAGAGAAAATAGTTCGATAAGTTTGCCAAGGGCAAACGAGAGACGCAGATCGCCGGTCGCGAGATTCGTTCCTCTGTCCCGACGAATTTCGCAAAGTAAATCAATCAGGTCGGTAAATACTGACAAATGAATTCCCCGAAATACACGAGGACGAATCAGTTCTTGGAAAAATTCAGAAAATTAAATCTCCGTTGAGCCTTTCGTAGATGACGATAATTAAACACGTAAGGTGATTGATTTTTCGTCGAATTCCTGAATTTTCATCTTTTCACAATTTTCTGTCGATTCGAACATTTACATACGCGACGGAAATTGGATCATCGTGGTTCGAGAACTACGAAATTTGATTGGCCACGAAATTTGGTTGAAAAAAGGAATTCCCTTCCTCTCGGCAGTGGAAAGTTTCTCTCGGATATTTCTCCAAGTGACAAATCTTTCTCGTATCGCCGGAACAAATGCCCGTAAACTTCGATATCTCGCCAATAAGAGTTACCAAAGCTTCCACTCCGGCGAATGAGAGCAAAGTCGGTCTCGCAGTCGGCGAAGAAAATGTCGTGGAGGAACGTCGTGAGTGTCAGTGAAGACGTCAAGACGACAAAGTGACTGTGAAAGTGTAGAACGACCGATGTCACTGACGGACGACGAGGTTGAACAGGTGCGATGATCGAAGACGCGACGATGATCGTGTTCTTGTTGTTCGTGTGGACGATGGTCAGGTCGCAGGAGCAGCAGGCTCGGAAGCCGGACTCGCGGCGAGACTCTGCTGCGAAGGATAATCGCGATTCCAGGCGAAATTCGAAGGAAACAACGTCGTTGGGCCTTTCGTCCTACGCCGACAGACGTAGATACCGTCTTCGGCGACACTCGCGCCGATATTACGTCGATCGTAACAGGAGGTGAGTGATTTTCTCAGCAAGACTCGGTCCGAAAATCCTCGAGAGGAATTAACGAAGGATTTTTCTGTCGTTCGATCGAACTGAATTGAAAACATGACAAGTGCAAGTTTGATATTAATGATAGAAATGAATGTAACTTAACTTGTAAGTATACATGTATTGAAAAAAATTGACGAAGAATTATACAGGATGTTTCGTAACTTGTGGGACCCAATTCGGGAGCTGATTCTACGCCTAAAAATAATGAAAGTGACATATAAATATATAAATATATGTCATATCTGTCTTCGTTTATGAATTTTATAAACAGAGCAAGCTCTCTTTTTCCAGACGGACCCTATTTATGACCTTTTTTCAGTAAATTTGGAGTACAAGTGGGTCCCGCAATTTACGAAACACCCTGTGTTACAAATATTTAGTTAATTCAACGAAAAGATTACAAACTGAAATGAAAATATTGTCCTAGTTGCTTGATTTCTTAACCAGAATCTTCTACAATTTTCGAAATTCAGAAATAACAAAGAGAAAATTGGTTGGAGTCAGACTGATTTCATTCTTCACAAATATAAAATACAATTCAAATTATTACTAAAATATTTAATAAAATATTTAATTTCAGACGGGATATTTGATATGAAATATTTATCAAATATTCTTCTTAAATAACATCCTACTTCAAGTCTAGTATATTATACGCGTCAGTGGGATAGTATACTCGTATTCTATTTAATTAATTCAATTATTACACAATACTTGAATAATCCGATTGAAATATATTTAGAAAACAAAGTCTCAAAATTATAAATTAATTAATTCAATTACAAAAAAATTACTCAATTGAAATTTAAACATATTAGGATAACGATACGTTATTAATTCAGGAATGATGTGAATTTCTCTGCGCAGGCTGTAACAAAGCAGCGAACTCTGGCGTCGTGTCGCTTAACCACGAGTCAGACCGCGTCCAGCAGGAAAATCGAAAGCGGCATTTCTGTTAAACAGTGGCAATAATCTGGGCACCCTCGCGCTAGAAATAAGCCGGACCCGCGTAATACCCCTTTAAGATTATATCCACCGGGGTTTATTAAATCCGATCCACTTACTGGCCCTAATGCTAATGCTAATTTAATCGATGCACAGCTCCGGTGCCGCTTACCAACCGCACGCCGGGAATCCATTAGAGTGGAGAGGTCGGGTTGTTGCTTTTCGTCAGACAAAATGGAGAAACACTTTCCTTTTTCTTTCTTTTTTTTTTTTTTTCTTCATCATCCAATCATGCATAATTATTATTTTCGTCGGAACTTTTTTCCCTTGATTTTCTATCGATCCTTGAGTTTCTTCGTAGTTTGAATTTTCGTTGCTTTGTTTAACTACTTGAATGCCTCTGTAGTTGGTTTTGATTTAAACTAAGATTTGCGTTTTCGAAATTATTACATGATAATGATACCACCCAAAAAATCGAAATCATGGAAAGCAAGAAATTTAATCGCAGTTGGGTTGATTCTACCCTTTTGCAAACACTCTCGCTGGATAAAATGTTGGAAATTTTTGTATTCGAGGTTGAAAAACGTGGCTCTCTCGATCATCATCGTCTTTTCGAAACGATTAAGAACCGATCAGAAATCGCGGCAGCTCGGAAAGGTCGGGGTGAAAGCTCGTTATCGATCACGAGAGGGGCTGGCGTGCCGCGCGGTTGTTAAGGGTGTTTATCACCTACACGCTCTTCAGGGTCGCCAGATTTGTGTCAAGAACTCGTTCCTCCACTGGCGCGATACGCGAAACCCGTGGAAAAACTCGTCGTGCACAGTGTAAAACACAGACCGGGGATAGAATTCACGTGAGAAGTCTTCCTCAAGGCCGCTACCGCCCATTACCACACCAACCGCGCCCTTTTCCTTTGAATTCTTATCTCTCGCTTGTCCTATTCACTGTCGTGGTCACTGATCGACCAAACGAAACTTCTCTTCCCTCGTGCGATGGAATTTTAGTCTCATTTTCGAATCAATGTTCGAATGATGACGATTCCTAAATTTTAGAATTTCAGAATTTTAGAATTTTAGAATTTCAGATCTTTGGTGGAAAGTTTAGTGGAATTGGAATCGATTGCAACGATTGTTTACGACTGGAACGAGACATTTGAAAAACGTTCTCACGGGAAATGTTTGATAGTAGTAAAAGTTTTATTTCTAGCAAATAGAAATTACAGACCATTTTAAAGTAAAGTAGAGCAAGGAATTTCAAAGTAAATAGAAATTCCTCAGGCTGCACAAAAAGAAAGAATGAGAATATTTGTATGAAATATTTGAATCACGGTGGTGCTTTCTATGATATTTGATTCACAAAACAATTTTCTGGCCGAGAGTCTACCCTTTTTCATCGTGATTTCGAAGAATTCGAATGTGCAGTCGATTGATCTAAGTAAATCTTAATTAATAAATAATAAAATAAATCTTAGAAATTCACCGAATGTTTCAGAATATTTATTATTGTTGAGCGTGTGAACAACGTGTTTCAACGGAGAATTATACCGGAAAGTTACAGTGTTTCTTAGAATTTCAGGCTATCTCAGTGGGGAAATAAGAAAAAGTCGATGGTTGGGAAAATGGATTCAAAATTGATGGATGGGCAATTTCATGGTGGAAAAGGATCCACAGCCTAGATTCGCGCTGAATGGTCGTAGGTGTGGCTCGTCCACTGTCAATATAATTTTCCATTAAGCGAGCTGAATGGAAAGCTCGATTATGCCTCTGAAATTAGGTCGGCAACGACTACAGCGAGGATTTATTGCGATCTATGTGGTCCTGTAGCTAGCAGAAAATTAAACAAACGACATTTTGGCCAACGTGAACAAAGAGGATTGCCCCTAGAATAGAATTATCAATGTATACATTACGTATAACAATAGATAACGACGATGTTCAACATTTTTTACTACGGCTAATGTTAATCTAAAGCACCCACGAATTAATTGAATTAATTGCTCAGTTCTGATTACGTTGCTTAATTTGTATTTCACGTGATTGAAACTTATTCGCGACACTTATCACGGTGAATGTATAATTCAAACTACGGATTAATATCCTAAAATTAAATCTAACATCAACCATTGTGGTTATGAATTCGCGATCTGCTGATATCGATCAAGGTTTTAAAAACCTTGTATGCATATTAAGCTTTTGTGTGTGTGTGTGTTGTGTGTGTGTTATCAGCGAACAAATTGGTATTTTCTCGACGACTTATATCCTCAAATATCCTTTTAAAATGATTGCAAAATTTCAAACAATTTTTCTTATTCACTTGGAAGATAGGTTTGCATGTTCCACTCTAAAAAATTACTGCTAATTTCGTTCAACTTTGTAGTTATACTAGCTAACTAGTAGTAGATTAGTATTATAGTATTATATACTATAGTATTATACTTAGTACCATATACTGTATAATTGTAGTATATATTGTACTAGTTGATTATGGTCATATTAATATATTATAGTTGAGTATTGTAGTTTTGCTAGCTGACTATGGATATAATATTTGTATATTATACTAGTTGACTATAGTTCATATTAATACATTATAGCAGTTGGGTACTATATTTATATTAATTAAATATTGTAGTTATAGTGATTAATTGTATTTAATATGAGTCTATTATATTAGTTGATTATAGTTCATGTTGAACCACTTGAGTACTGAGTACTTGAGTGCTGATTGACTAGAGTTAATATCAATACATTATGCTAGTTAATTCTAGCTGATACTACGACTATACTAATTGACTACACTCCATGTTAATACATTATACTGTTGCAGTCGAGTGCAACTATCTACTCTAGCTGATTACAATCCATGTTGGTGTATCATTTCTTCAAAGAAACAATTCACTTTAATTAATTAAGTGATTCAAGGCGAGAATGTTATCGACAATGCTGATTTTATCTGGACTCTCGAGTTTGATGTTTTCCTTTGGATGGCAGCGTCTATCGACGTGATTTTATCGCACTTCCGCGTCGAGATTGTGGTTTCAAAGAGCGCAGCTTGTTACGAGGTAACATTGTAAACGGAACATACAATCCGACGAATTATCAGGATTGTAAAACGCAAATCTATTTTGAGTGCGAAGCCAAATAGAAGATAGAAGCAATCGTCACGTCCTTATTGCCGCTGCAAATTCACTAGGATTTAATCGGGTGGGTTATCAGGCTGTCGAGTTATAAACTTCTCCTGAAACAATTGGTGGATCCGACAAAATCGTATTTCGTATCGGAGAAAATTCACAAGTGGAGTAATTTTTAGTGGACGATAAAGATTGTCTTTGTGTCACAGTTAGTGTAACTGAAATCGACAGAAAAATATCGAATTAATAGCGTCGCAATGGAAATTCGAAGGATATTGAAATTCCAACGGTTTAAAAATATATGAAAATTCACAAATTCTCAAATCTCAAGTAGAAGCCACCTACGGTGCATTCGCAAGTAGCTCAGTGCCACAAAAGTACCCACCAACGCCTCGAACAATCCCAACAAAACGAAATATCGTTTAACAGTGTGAAATCTCCAATGAGCGTAGGTGTGCCAGACACCCGGTGCACGTGTACGCGTATAAATAAAGCTGTCAGAGCGTCTGAAAGTTCTATTCCTGGCAAAAATCTGCGAACGAGACACGACAGACAGCGGTGGTTCGAGCTTGTGAAGAAAATCACGCGACGCAAACGTTTAGGCAAACCTTCTGCGAGCTCTCGAGCCTGAAATCTCGATGCAGTGGATTTATAGAGGAGTGGTCGGCCGTGATCGTTTCGCGAGACTTTCGACTTACGAGCGCCATAACGTATCGTTATTTTTGGTAGTTATGCCTGGTGCCGCTTGTAAACCGGCGTCGCTATTGATTTTTCGTCCACGGTAGCACGGAAAACATCGGACCCTAGCGATTTCCTTCCTATGGCCGCCGCTTGGGAATCTCGTTGCACTTTTTCCTCCTTTCGTTCGTTCTTTGCTGCGGTTTCT